TTCATCGTCGCTCATTTGAAACAGTGCCCGCGTGCAAAATTCCGCCGCAAAGGCTTCCAACTTCTCGAGACAGAGGAGCTTCAAGGCGAGCGCGCGCCAACTAGGCACTGGCGTTTCGGAACTAATAGATTAATGGGTTGAGTAATTTGGTCTAATCATTCACAAGAAGCAAGTGCCGCGCCACGGACTGGACAAGGGCGCCGGATCGCATGATTAGAAATTATTGTTTCAAATTGGGTTAGATAGGGGAAAAGTGCACAATCTGGCAACCAAGGCTCTGGGTAGCAACGGGCAGCCAGCGTCGCACAGTGGATCGAATCAATTTAGAGAGGTTGGACATAAAATATTTGACTAAAACTGCAAATTTTGATGTTTATTTCGTCATATTTTAAATTTTAAGGGGTGCTTCCGGAAGAAAATTTCACGAGGAAACCAATGGAGCCACTCTTGGAACCTCAAAATTTTACGTAAATGAAGTTATAAACTTTGAAAGTTTCCAAATTTTGTCCGACCTTTCCTATTGACTCGATCCACTGTGCGTCGGTAACATGGAGCGGCCGCGAAAACCGTGAGCGGGGTCCTGTTAAAATGCGGAGGAGCGGTGACGGCGAACCACTGACGAGTTCTAATTCAACTCATTGTCTAATTACAATTACCAACGTAATTAATTGTTATTCACTCTACTTTGAAAACAAGACGGCCAGCAGCAACTCTTCCTATTAACTACGCCGCTGGGATACTGGCGCCGGAGTGCTGCTCCCAACATCCCTTCACTCATCCCAGCTTTACGAAAACCCTTTTGAGCCCCGTTCTGCGGTGTCACGCCGTCTCACTTTCTCCTCAAATTTCTTGAGCTGAAAATTTCAATTTCAAGAAGACGATCTGATGAAGGGGTTGAAAGCTCCACCTCCTTCCATTTGAGAACGATATGTCGAGTTAGGGACTAAAGAGTGATATGAAGTACAAGGGGGCGTTATACCCCTTGGCCATTACGCGGTCCAACCCCCATAGGACGCTTGGCGGGCCCTCGTGTGTTCATCTAAACAGAGCGGACACAATTGCGGTCTACCTCCTATCGGTAGCCGGAAAATTATGAGAATTGACCCTTCAGATCTTCAGAGCGAAGTGTGGAAAAAGGGAACATTTACCTACATCGTTTAAACTGGAGACTTCACAACTTTATCGCGCGTAATGTAAAAAACCAGGTTCATATATATCCGAAGTTTGAATAGAGCGGGCTCATCTTAGGACCAACACTTGTCGATAGCCGCAAAAATCGTGGAATTCGATTCAGTACAATTGTCGAAAAAACTGTGATGTAAATGAAAATTGGGTTTCAGAGACTCAGAGAGCTTAAAGTAATGCTACTTGAAGGCTATCTGGTCACAGAACATAAAACCATGATGTAATGAACGTTGTTCTTTTTCTCATAATTAGATTATGTAGTTTTCAAGATCTGTATTTTATTTATTTACTTAATATTTATTTTTTCTTGCATGAGAGTGGTGAGGATCTTGTTAAAGGAGGATAGTTGAGGGAATCACGCTAATACCTCAATCCATTTTGAATTCGAAGGATATTTAATGTCTTGAATCATCATTTTAAAAAAATTTGAACCGAATATAAAATCTGAATCGTTAATATATTTTTGAAAATTGACCACCACCATTAAACCTGCTTACCCGAGGATTGAACAATATTTTAACGCAAAACCTTTCTCTTTCTCCAATTCAACGATTTGATTGTGGCGTTCAGTGGGAGGTTTAGTTTGAATGCAGTGAGACACAACATGCCATAATGCACCCTATGTCAACGATTCAGAATGGAATCCCGACTAATTAGAGACGATAACATGCACTTGGATGCGGGTTGCTGAGGGCATTAAGACTTATCAGAGTAAAAGAAGAATTAGCGGGCTGCATGCAAGTCTGTAACTTCTTGGGGCACTGTTTTAGCGTTAAGGACGAGCCTTAATCAATTATGTCGAGTTAATTAGTGGTAAATGATTATAATTGATACGCGCTGCTGCTTTTATTTTTTCTTTGCCCTAAGTTTAATTTTCTCATTTCCCGCTCTCAAACGGAGGACTTGCGTTTATGAAAGATACCGCACAAAAAGATGATTTGTCAGAAAGGGATTTTGGTGCGGCTATATGTCAACTACCTGTTCAAATTGGCATTATGACCCCCATGTTATATTTTAGTTAAGTTTCCATCTCTGGGTTCAGAGATCGGCTGTCGTATGAGAAAACAAACATGCCTAATCCTGGTACAATAAATTGAATGACATGGCAATCCAATACCGTGCCTCTCATGAGATTTTCTTGGCCTCGGCAATGTGTGGATTGCCACGGTGAAGGTTGTCCAAAATATTGGAGTGTATTTATGATAAAAATAATTTTAGAAGTTTGATAGTTGTTGTAGACGATTGCCAAAATGATGTTTTGAAAAAATTTGAATGACCAAAATTCAGAGACACTGAACTCCGTTTAGTACAGGTGAATAACAAATTAAACTTCTGCAACCCCAGTCAAAACTTTTCAACAAAATTCAGATTTGTGTATATTTTTTTCAAACTTCAGATTGCTCTCTGAAACTTCCTTCACTTGAAATTTCATTGAAATCGCTTTAATTTTGGGAATTCCAGTGCACATGAGCAACTCTCAACGGGCGGTTTCAGAAGGAGGGTTTTAAAATTCTGACCTCAATGATAATTTTAGTTTCGACGGGCTCTAATAACTAAAAACGTTATAAAAACCTGTACGTAAACTTTACTCTCAATGGCAGAAACATCGACATGACAGTTCATCCTTTCCTTTTTTCTCAGCGTTCGTTCGTTTGCGGTTGAGCGAACTCCGAAGCCGAAACCGCGCGATTGGCCGCCCTCGCGTCGGAAGATTTCCTCTCCGTTGCGAAACTTTTTAAAGACCTTTTGAATTCATTAAAGGCTATTAGCAGGGTTAATAGCGGTGGCGAGAGGCGAGGAAGGGCGCGCGGGGGGAGGGGAGGGGGCTGGAGGTGAGAGGGCGGAGCCGGGGGTTGATTCCCGGCCCCGCGAGATAAAGTGGAAAAACAATGTAGCCGAGAGTCGAGGAAACAACGCGCCAATTAAATCTGCGCTCAGGTTTCATGTGCTGTAAAATTCACATTGCTGCGCTGGCGTGCGATTAAGCTCTTAGCACAAGAAAACGACCCAAGTTATATTTCAATTACTCGGCTATCCCTCCGCCTCCCCTCCTCCCTCCTCCGCCCCCGCCCACCCGAGCTCCAAAACGATCCCTCCCCCGGTCACACTCGAGGAGCTCGACGCGGGGCGGGGGGCGAAAAAATAAATTAACTGTAGCACGGGCGAATTAAGGGAAATCCTCGACGCAAGATCGGAATCGAATGTAACACAAAACACTTTAACGTTTATGTTTGAGTTCCGCCCATTTACTTAATGTCCTTTGTTCGCCGGAAACGGGGCCCAGGCGCTCGGGAGCCATCGCTGTTAAGCCGGCGACTTCCGCCCGGAACATACGTCGCTTTGGCTCTCGTTTCCGTCCCGCGCCCCCTCGGGAAGAAAAATGACATTCCGAGCGGTGATAAAGCCCCTTCATTTTCCTGCGATACGACCCGCGGTTCTGTGAGGTTAATGATTCGAGCTTGCCCCGGCCGGTGATTTCCCGCGGCGCATGTCTTGGGCCGTGTTGTGCTTGCTCTGCTTTGCAAAGGAAGAGCACAGCTTGTGGGGAAACGTAGGCTTTTACCGTGTCGTTTTATTTATACATCATACCTTACACGGGGAGAAGATCTTCGGGTGCAAGGACCGAACGACGGCTCATGTGCTGCCGTGTTAAGGAAGAACGCCGTGTGAGCCTTTAGACGTTGTCATATTTTCTTCAATAAAAACCCGTTTTACTAGAAAAATTTTCCTTAATTTTTCCATACAATTTTGTTCGCAATTTGATTTAAAACGTCTAAAAATTTCAAAGACAAATAAGCATAATTTTCTTCCAAAATACATGTTTTATCCGGGGCAATTTGGCAACACTCGGATAATCATACGGCATTTTTCCTTATCACGGCAGTATGTGTGTTGCGCACACATAAGCTAAACTTAAGCTAAAATTTCTCGAACCCGTGTCTCAAAAATAATGGCTTCGGAACGGTGACGCCAAAGTTGGCTTGATACTCAATCGCATCTCTTAATGGATACTTCGACATTCCTTGTAAGACAAATGAGGTGCAAAGCTGGAAAAATATTGAGAATAAGGTTGTTTTTATAATTAAATCTAAATCAGCGAGCAAGGTTCAGAGAGCACTGAACGTGGGGCGAAAAAATTACGGAGAGGCAGATCGATTTAAGTCGGGCGGTGTTTTATCCTCTTAACGTAATTACGGCGGCACTAATGTGTTTTACAACGTCTTTCATGAGCTTACGGCCTTTTAAAAGTCTTCACCTCGCTGTGTTGGTAAAAATATTGTAAACGGAGTCTTCCAATCCCTGCAATAAGGGTTCCTACCCTCGCAAAGCTGTAGTTCACCGAAATGCAGCTATCTAGTATTCATTTAAAGGAACGGTTTGCCAAACGCTTCCTTCGACTGAAATTCTTTATTCTGCGATTCAGAATTCCAAAAGAGAGGTATTAATCAAGCACAAATAACGCAATCGTATTGAAAAAACTAGAAAATTTGAAACGTTTGTAATGTTTGTAATTTTCAAGGATTGATAAATATTGTAGTCCCTCCGATTCGTTCTTTTAGAATAGTTTTCCTCTTTAAGCCTGAACTGCAGAAGGAGAATCATTCTTAAAAAATTAATAAATAAAATAAAAGCATTGAAATTCCTTCAGTGGAAGATAAGTTCAAAATAATGACATTTAATGTATATTTAACTTCACCCCGGAGGATAATATAAAGGAAAAGGTCGAGTGATTGATCTAAAAAATGGTGAGGTCCAGGGGGTTTTTTTTCATTGTGATTAGCCTTTAAATTAAGGTTTTGTCTCTTGTGTTGCAGCAGCAGTTTCCGATGCGTGAGTGAAGCTGTTTCCAATCCTGATTTGCGGACAAATGCACCTCTATTTTTCCCAGCACACCTCTCGTCTCAATTCTCCCCACCGCTCTTTCCCGCTCTGAAAGGTAAGACTCACAATATGGCAGTTCTCTAGCAGATAATTGACTGATAAAAATGCTCAATTTCATATATTCTGACGACGAACCAACTGAAATTCCCTGGAAGGAAACACATGAAAATTTCATTTGATTTAAGTAGAAACAAGAGTTTCAAGAAATGATATGATTTGCTAAGGAAAATCATTTGCCTCTTTTTACATTTTTAAAAGTATTTCATTGGAAACGTTCAGGGTTTAAAATGAGCTCGGCATTTTAATTGCCTCATCGCTGGCCTCATAGACATGATATAAATCAGGGGCACATGTTTTTGGTTTTATGTCAAGTACTGAAGCGAGTACTTCATACTTTCTCCTCTTCATTTTCTCCTCTATCCGGCGACCTAATTAGTCAATTGAATGTATTCGTGCTAAAAGAAACGTAAATCCCATTTACAGAGTTTCTATATTTCATAGTTCTACGCGGAAATGATGTTGAGAGAAATTATAATATAAACGTCATCGAACTTTGATCAAATAATTAATGGCTAAAATTAAAATTTAAAAAAAAATGCGTAACTCCATAGTAACATGCTAAAATCTCCGATTGTTTTATTATCGCATGATAACCAAACGAAATTTCAGGAAAAAATGTTGATTGGCTTTCTCTCTGAAGGCCTAGCTATACACTGCGATTAATCCCTCTGAGTGAAAGACGAAAGCCAATGGAGAGCCTTGATTCTGATAAATCGACGTCAATGGATCGAAATCAAGGCTCTCAATTGGCTCTCATCTCTCGCGATTCATCGCCGTGTGTATCCAGGCCTTAAAGAATATAAAAAAATAAATGATTAAATGCAATTGGTGTAAGGTTTTTTCTTTAGGGATGAAAAAATAAATTTGAAGTAGGAGCCGAAAGAGAGGAGACTCAGGTGAAAAGAGTGGTGATATTGGCGAATGGACTTATATCATTATTTCTCACCGGCTCATGTGTGAATGTTGATTAGTGAAGATGAGAAATGAAAAGTGCCGGAGCGCGAATATTAGGGGCGGCTCGCGCGGTAGCGAAACAACCCTTCCGAGCTGCGGCGAAACATGGCGGCGACGACGATGGTCTCATTATAAATCAAGCGCGGGAAATAATAAAACCCGCCGCTCAATTAAAGCAATCGTTTACGCCATTAATATTAATTTGAGCCGTTACCGCATTAACTTATCTTAGTCACGGTGACAAGTTTCCTTGGTCGACTACTCGATAAATCTCGAGTGTTTATCACATTACACCCGGAGCGCGGCGCCTCGCCGGGGACCCAGGTGTAGTCGCCTCCTCTAAGTTAATTTCCCGCCGACCAGCTGATGCGACGACACATCTAATCATATTCCTTAGCCCACCCCCTCCTCGCCCCCCGCCCCCACCTCATACTCACGTGATGTATTAACTTATTAATAAACCACTCAAAAAATCCCCCTCTCCGTATCTTTGCATCGTTGTGCACACATGCCAATTCTCGTCCGTAAAAGAAAGGCTGTGATAGGATTGCACGAAAGCCCCCTTTTTTTACCTTAACAGACTGAAAAAAAAGTTACGGGCTATATAGACATACTGTCCGTTCCGGGCTCGGCGGCCGAAAGTTCCGGGTGCTGAAGCCGTTGCTTCGATTGGTCTGGGTGCTACGCCCGGAACTTGCGGCCTCTGAATCTGGAACGCGGACGCAATGTTTACAAAGCCCGTAAGTATGGCTTCCACGACCGGAGTTTTTTTTCTCAGTGTAAGATTGCGCGAATTTTTTTTAGGTACTGAAAACTCTGTTTTTGCGCGAATATTCAATATGTGATCATCAAGGAGAATGTTGATAGATGCACTTGATTTTTTTTTTACGAATTTAAGCATTCTGAAATATACAGGGCTACGCCCGAATCGTTAGAAGAAGAAGAAGAAGAAGAAGAAATATGTTCCTCCCAAAAATTTCACGTAGGACACGATTCGCACCAGAGTCTACTGGAATCAAATTGGGCATTGCAACGACTTTTGCAAGCTTCTCAACCAGCAGTACTCCTTTCAATCCTGTGTTGTTCTGAGTGGACACAACAGGCAATAACTACTCCAAAGCGACGATATTGGTTGTCATATTTGCACACTGTAGAGACTGTCACCGTAACATTTAGTGTGCGATTTGACTCAAGTAGATTGTGGTTTTTTTAGAAGCGAGAAGATTGAATTGATGCATCAAAAAACGGTAATATCTTTGTTAGAATTTACTTCCATTAATTTTCGTTGTACAAATCGTGTTCTACGTGAAATTTTGATGGGTTGTTAGAATGCTTAACTTCGTAGCTTGTATTTGTGGTCCATTCGTGCAAAACCGAGTCGTTACTTTACAACTTTACAATAAAAGTATTCTTACCGGTCGACCAATGCACCTTCAAAAACCCGAGTAGGCAATAGGAGCGGTCTTGAAGCAGTATCTATATTGGTTGTTTGCAGCAGTTAGGTCAGCTTCGCCCAGCTCTACTCCTTGCGGAACACTGATTGAGGCTGATGTTAGCATTCCCTCCTAAAGCTGAAAACATTGTGTTGAGAAAATTGCGATAGAAATTTTGATTATAGATTAAAGACCGGCATCGGTGCAATTTATCCGTGGCATTATTTCCTCTGCACAAGCGGCAACGCCAAGAAAGGTCCCACGTCAGTTCAGAAACTTCATCCCTTAACAATCAAGGACTTTCTTAACAACTTGGCTTTGAGCGCAGTTAGATTATATATGATGACACAATTCGTTTAAAAGTCGGAGGAGGTTGTCGAAATGTGTGACTGGAAAAAATGCAGATATCGCTAACTTAAAGAGCGTGAATTGCGTGGAATTCAGTTCGGGGTAGAGATTGGGCAACTCTCTGAAGGTGCGGAAAGGCACAGCTTCATGTGTTGATGGATATTTGGACGAGGTTGAGCAGGTTGCTGTATGCAGCTAATTTGACACGAAGGAAAGTTAAAACTTCGATGGATCGATTGGAAGGGATGTTCTGTTGCGTTTCAGGGTGAATTCACAAGAATTGTCGAAGCTCATTTCAACTTTTTACTTAAAAACAGAGAAAAACAATAATGTAAACCCATTTTAGTTACACTTACCGGAACTTAAAATAAAATTTCAAGCTGTAAAACCTCTCTTTTAACCCTTAGATGTCCAAGACATTTTTTACACGCCAAGTTCAAAGTCGGTTTAAATGAGCCGTATTTAAATACATTGAAATTAATAGTTTTTGAATTATCATGTTATTTCTATATTTTAGAGGGTTCAAAATGCTTTTTTAAAAAAGTTTCACCTTTTACATAACATACTGGCGGTATCTCAACCCTCTATCTCTCTCCATCCGTCATATGTAAATACCCTATTAGAGATTGTCAGGTGACCCGGTTTCGGATTTGTAGGGATAGTGGCAAAAAAAAAAAAATCCTTGACACGGTACAACTCTCGCAAAAATACCAAATTTTAGATGTACACCCTTTTCGGCACTTCAGAGACCTCTAAACATGTTTTATTTGGAGAGAAACCCAACACAACATGGAAATAAAGCAAGGAATAAGTCTTGCGTTGAGACGGCGCAGAGATACAACTATTCGTACTTGATGGATGTCCGTGTTGGGTGGGCAAAGTTGAAGGCGCGATGACGCGTGGCGTGAACTCGCAATGTTCCGCTTTTTATTCCTAGTGAGTTGTCAATCCGATTCGGGAGAAAAGTTAAATAACGAGTCCGAATTACGTCTCTCCTATCATCGGCTGTGTTGCTTACGTAGCCCTTAAAGCACCACTGTAAATAAGACAAACGTAAACACTCAAAATACGGGAATAAGGCAAAGAAATGGACTTGCGTTGGCACGGCGCAGAGATACAACTATTCGTACTTGATGGATGTCCGTGTTGCGTGGGCAAAATTGAAGGCGCGTTGGCGCGAGGTGTGAACTTGCAATGCTCCGCTCTACGCTGGCAATGCAATGAGGTGTCACTCAGTTCCGGGAGAAAAGTTGTAAAACGGGGCCCGAATACGTCTCTCCTATTATCGGCCTCGATTTTTCACCCGTTTTCTTCAATTAGAGGTTAGATTCTTTTTGCAGGATGTCGATATAGACAAACCGTCACCATAACTTTTTCATAAGAGATGATCGGGCCAATTTGACCAGGTTTGGTATTTCTAGGGATCTAGTGGACAACATACACAAAACTGTGTTGCAGAAGCAATAGGTAGTTTTACCATGTAATTACAATTATGGGTCAGTTGTGCTAGCCACAGAATCGTGTTTGGATGCTTGATTCTTGTAGATTAGCTCAAAATAATATCTTTTGGAAACAGCAACTTTCTAAGTTGAATATTAATCGAGATATCGTTCTTTGAAAAGTCGGGCTTTTGACGTCATCCACCGCAGTAGTGTAGAACATGGTATGTACTACCACAGTGGATGACGTCATAAATCAAATTTTTCAAGGCGCAATATCTCGGTTAATATTCCAACGTAGAAAGTTGCTGTTTGGTATATCTTATTATTTTTCGTGATCTGCCAGAATAAAGCATCAAAACTCGAATCTGTGACCGGCAAAACTGACCCATTGCACTGACAAAAAAAAAAAAACTCCGGCCGTGGGAGCCGCAATTACGGGCTATATAGACATACCGTCCGTTCCGGGCTCAAAGGCCGAAAATTCCGGCTGCTGGAGGCGTAGCTTCGATTACTCCAGGTTCAGAGGCTGAGGCTACGGCTTCAGCAGCCGGAATTTTCGGCCTTTGAGCCCGGAACGGACGGTATGTCTATATAGCCCGTAATTGCGGCTCCCACGGCCGGAGTTTTTTTTTTCAGTGAGCAATTTATTGCAGTCTGTGCTACTTAGGAATTTGGTTACTATTTCCTGCTGTGTTGTTCTCCACTGTGTGAGTGTGCCCTTTTTCTGATAGATGCCTCGATCCTGATGGCTCCTGTGGTGTGTTACGGGATATTAATGTGTGGAATTTTGGTTTTATGTGCAGGTTTCGCGGGGTTATGTTCGTGCTGCCCGATGAAGCCCCTCTCCCTGCTCCCGGGGAACGGAGGGGTGGGGGTGGGGGTGGAGCAGCGCTCGAGCAGCGTGGCCGAGCTCCGGCGGAAGGCGCAAGAGCACTCGGCAGCCCTCCTCCACAGCCTCCACCAGTTCCAGCAGCACGCCCTCGGCCTCTCCACCATCCAGGCCCTCGCCGGCTCCGGCAAGTCCGAGGAGGGCCCCACCGGCCCCCCCGCTGGGCCCCCGCCACCACTCCCCCCGCCGCCCCCCTCCGAGTCCCAGTCACCCTCCTCCAGCCCCCCACAACCCAAACCCTCACCTTAGCAAACAATCGAGCCCCCGCCCCTCACCCTAGCGCCTCAAAAGCGCCCTCGATCCCGGACTCATGGCGCCCACTCCATCAGCTCCATCATGAAATGATCGTGCGCTTAGATATATTGACAAATCCAGCCGGCTCATTTTTTGAATCGATAGACAAAACGATTCAAAAAGAAGACGAAGGAAAAATGAAGCGATCCGATTGGTTGAGACGGATATTGGTTACATACTAAGGAACTGAAGTGTTGAGGATTTTTTTCAAAATCATCGATTAATCGAATCTATTTCTATTAGAACCCGATTTTATTAATTTAAATTGTGATGAAAAGATCGATTATCTGAAAAATCGATTTAAACACTCGGAAATTTTGGAAGCTCCAAATTCGCACTCCTTAAAATAAAAATTAAAATGAAAATTCCTGGGAAAATTTCTAAAATTTTGATCCAAAAATCGACTCACGTGCCGATTTACTACATTCGGGTGGCCAGAACCGGAATTTTCGATTATGAGGGAAAATACAATTTACACGATTAATCGAATCCAATAAAATCGATTTTTTCGCTTAGTCAAATCCAATTAAATCGATGCGATTCAATCGATTTTTCAAGAGAATCGATTCAAAATCCCCAACACTGTAAGGGATAACCTCACGAAATGCCGTTCGTCAAGCTATTGCTCTCCTCCTTTGTCCATTTGCAACCGCGGAGAAAATGACTCCATTTTCTCTTCGTCTTCGTCTTCGTTGTCTAACGCTTTATCCATTAATTTCCATAATCAGCCCGCAGATATCGATGGTTTGACGACGATACGATGGTAGAATATTCAAAATGTCTCGAGGTAACACTTGATACAGAAAAAAAATGAGAATAGAAACATCAGAAAGGAAAAAAGGGGGCTCTCCTTGTTATGTTGAGGTACTCTTGTGAATGGGACCTCCTATCAGAGTATGGAATTTTTTCCTGATTATTCATCAGCATTGATCAGCAGATGATAAAAGTAGATACGTGGATCCAATTGTGTAAAAATTGTACCTAGTTAGAATGTAAATATTTCCTCGTGCAATCATAATGCGGGCAAGTTGCAAAGTAAGTGAGTGCTGTAAGCATCGAAGTACGCGAGAATTACATGGAAGAGGTGGCTTAGAGTAGATTAACGTATTCACAAAGAGAGCAATTTTATTGATGAATTGATTGAAATTTTCGAAAACTTTAATTAATGAAACTCTTTTGAAAACAATGGAGTCTCTTCCACCTCTCCCGGTGAACAACTTCAGCGGAATAATACTTAAGTATTTAGAAACTGTATTGTAGAATTGTATAAAGTAGTGAATAAAACTCATCAAAACTGATTCCTTACGTTAATTGTAAACAAAACCGTGAATTTAATTTAACTGTTATACGCTTGTGTAAATTTATGTAGTATCGAATTAAACCTTTCTTTGAATGATAATCCAAAGTTTCCTATTAATAAGTTCATATTGTAGTTAAAAAATAAAAGCACTTCGAAGTTCCAAAACCATTCAACGGTTCAGTTCATTTTTTCCCATCATGTCCTCTCGGAAGTATTGATGTAGATGATCATGTCAATCTTCAATTTTTTACGGGTTATGTTTTTGGATACCCCATGGTATATGCTCTCTAATTATTTCAAGGTGTATAGAGATTGAGATGATCATAGACATCTGTGAGAACTTTATCTCATCATGCAATTTTGACAGAGAAAAACATATATGTTGTTGATTATTTTGACTTGTTGGATTTTTCAATTTTTCATTCATAAGTTGTCTTCGAGCAAAACAAACATTTTGGGCTCATGATTATCATCTTATACATGTTTTTATGAGTTATTGTCCTGTTCAATTTAACATTCAATCAGACCTTCAACGGTTATTTTGGTCAGATTTGTGATCAGATGTAGTTTCTTGCCAAGATTAAACGAATGTTTGATCTTACAATGAACTTATATAGAAACTTTCAGCAATGCAGGATATTATCCAAGTGCTTGCAAAATTTGATTTCATTCTTGTTCCCTGCGGAATATGCAAAAAAAAGGGGGAAACTTCAAAAATCGATAGAATTTTTTTGTAAAGCTTGCTAAGGCAATTTTATTCACAAAAAACAACGCATAAAAAATAGTATAAAACACCGAAAAACAAAGGCAGGATTTGATCGACCTCCTATATTAAAAATAAAAACATGACATTTACGTCCACAAGCATTTGTAGAAACTGCTGGATGACGACAATCAATAGTTGAATTTTGGTCACCAGAATAACAAGGCACATCGTCTACATCAAATCGCGAATTAGAACAGTTTTCCTGACAGCATTATTGTAGCCTTCTTTGTGGTGGAACCAAATTTCACTCTTTACAATATCATCGGCTTTGCGTTCTGGAAAAATGGAAGAAAAAAGCATTTAAAAAATGGTCCAGGGGGCAATCAACCATTTTTCCTCACTATGGGTAAAGTAAAAATTAGTAGAGAGGGCGGGAAAAGACTTTGGTGAGCCAAAAAAAGGATTCTTCTACAGCGCTTGAGATGGTCGGTACATTTTTTTCGACAGTGAAAGTTTAAAACACACACATAGATTGAGATGTTTCAATACCTCGTTACAGTTTCATTTCTTTTCTCTCTTCCATTTTTTTACGACAGATAAAATGATAAAATGCGACGTCACACCTCTAGTGTGACACATTTTTCAACTTTCACCACAGCTTTGTCTAATTTTAAAGTTTTCGTTAAGACAGATTGAGGACGGAGTTCACTTTGAATAAGCAGCACATAGTCGTCAAGAGAGCAAGTAACTTAAATTAACGTGAAAATTACTGGAAAAGGAAAATAAAATAAACAAACAAAAAATCGTACCTTTTTTCTTTTGGATTTCTTCTGCAGTCTCTTTGATAACGCGACCGAAAAAGTCTTTGGTAGGCTGAAACAAACAGTAAAACATTAAAAACACTTTAGAATTGCATTTATGTACTAATAAAAAAAGGAAAAGATAAAAAATAATAATAATAATAATTCAAGTTATTCATTTCTATGATGCAAATGCAAAAGACGGCTTCAACACAGAAAATATGAAAAGCGCGCACCGATCGAGGTCTACATTAGCTGAAAGTACACCAATTTTGAAACTGAACAGAAAAAGAAAAGATACCTCGATTGCAAACTTTGATAATGTCAAAAGCGCCGAGGTATCATTTGAGGTCACTTCCGCCATATTGGATTTTTGAAATTTGACCTTTACGCCAAAAAATACCCGATGACACCAAGTTTCACAAGAAAAAAACAAAAACAAATATATCCACAGAGAAAAAAGAAACAAAAAAAGAAACAAAAAACCAACAGGAGCCGAGATAGCATTTCAAGTCGCATCCACCATCGTGGATTTTCAAATTTTGAAAAGTTGAGTTGATATTTAAGTTTCCCGTTATAAAATGCCACCCCATGTCAAATTTCACAAAAATAGATAGAACAGAAGCCGCGCATCGTAGGATCAGTAGGACTCTTGTCCACAGTAGTAAACGATACCAGTCAATTTGCGTACGATAGTGCGCCTTCAGTTTCGTCTGATACTGTGCAATACTTCTGAGGCGGAATAGTTTCTCAGTGCGCCTTCGACAGTTTCGTTTCGACTTGATGGCGGAGGATCACGATAACCGCTGAGATCACACTCCAGAGCGTGAGCAGTGACACATTTCCTCATCGTCGACGGTGAGGTAAATAACGTTCTTACCTCAATTTGCGACGTTGCAATTTTTACACCGCCTATTCTAAGAGGATGAGCCAATGTGAACACTCTAAAATCTGCCGATATTTTTCCGATATATTTTAAGTCTAGACTGATTTTATGCTATATTTAAACAAGAGAAACAGCATTATGTGAGTAAGAACTTACGAACGAAAAAAAATCGGATCCGAAATTATTAGCCTTCGAAGAAAACCGGCCCGAAGACTTAAAAATGCGCCAAAACAAACTGACTGACAGTCAGTGTTATTAACTACTCGCTTAGGTGCGTGGTGCGTTAGCGTCTAAGATGTAAAAATTATGGAAAGAGGAAAAAGAAAAAACTTCTTTAGGTGTACACCTTCGGTTTATTGGACCAAAGTTAGGTTCTATCGATCGAGGGTTCAGTTCCCTGAACCATTAAGTGCCCGATGAACCTGAAGGTAAGTACAACTGAAATTTTCTGTGTGTGCTTCGCAACGCAAAATTTGTGTATCTTAAATAAGAGGGTCCAAATACACACCTCGGTCTGGAGGATATTTTGTTTCACTATTGATACCGACTTGCTCAAATTGCCACTTAGGGAATTCACGCAGGGCAGCCAACGTAAACTAGAGTCTAATAATAGTGTCTATAGTGTTATAACAGAACCAATCTCACGTTCTGCCGTTTTCCGGACGAAAGAACATATTGACATTTTAGTGTTGTAAGATTTCTACTTGGGAATTGGATTTTTACTGGGAAACCACTAGGCGTTTCTACTAAAATTTTTACTGATTTTCCTTTTAACTATCGCAGAAATGAGCAACATTTCGAGGAGAAACTGCAAAGCCATAACTCTGTAAAAAATAGAATTGTTCGAGTTAGTATTTTGCACTGTTGGTATAAAGTTACGATCCTTTGTCTGGAAGACGATGATTCAACATCCCCAAAATCTCGCCGAAGAGAGAGTTCGGATCCGCGACTCGAGATTAAGTGCCCGCGTGAATGTAACGGAAATCGAATAAATCAGGGCGGGATCTCATTACACGTTGGTTGGGAGTTGAGTTTCGAGGGAGAAGAAAAATAAAAAGACGTTAAAAGTACAGGGATGAATGGAGAGAAATAAAGTTGGGAGCATCGAGAATGGATATACACAAAGTAAATTTGGAGTATTGAAAGAATCAAGTGTCCGACAAACAAGGAGATAACACATAAAACAAGTTTCTGAAGAGGAAAGAAAGGAGGATGTGTGATAAATAAGTATCTTCTTCCTGTTTCCATTGCGAGAAAGTTGGTCCGAGAAATATCGTTAGCTGGCGTCTCAGCTGAGTTTTCGCGTCCGGTTCCCGCTCGGATTTGTGGCGTCTGGCTCCACCCCCCCCCCCCCCANCCACCACCCCTTCCAGTCTCCAAGCCTCCCCGAATCGTTCCCTTCAAATGTAGGAAACCCCTACCTACAACTAACAGTAGACTGCAAAAAAAAGGGGGAATGAAAAAATTCATTAGCTCTGATACAGGGTTTCTGGCATTTTTCAATAGAGAACAATTTCTAATAATGTTGTGATTTCTAGAACAAAAATGCACCAATTCTCTGAAAATCGGCAGGTTTCAGGAGAAAAATAAGATGTTTCATTGGTTTTAGAAGTCAGAGAGGAGGAAATTCCCAATACAATCAGTCATTATGGGGCAAAAAGAGAGCTCTGACGATTCCATGATTTTTCGGCGAAAATCAATTATTGGTTCGTTTGAGGTTGTTCTCGCAAAATTCTCGATTACTCCGAACACTACAGAGAAAATTTTACCATTCCACAAAATATTCCATGATCGCCGACTTTTTATTAGATTCTATGATATTTTTTAGGTTTTCCTTGATTCAAAACCGATTCCCTGACAATTACTGAGTTCCTGGTTTACCTGGTTGCTAGGTACCGTGTGCCAACACATGGAATCAAGGATTCTTCTGAAAAATATTCCGAGGATATATAGGAAATGTGTATTTAACGAGAAAGATAAATCCAAGTTTATTATCCAAGAATTCAGCAACTCGGAACATACAGGACAACACACGCCAAAGATAATTTTTTTGATTCTTTATCTCATTTGAATGAAAGTTAACTTGAGATAGAATTTGAGCCCTATAGTTAAAAACTCGCTTTTCAACAAATTAAGCAAAACTACATGCATCGTAAATTTGGTTAATTTTACACTTAATTAAAAAAGAAAACTCAACCAAATTGAGCCATTTAAAACCCAATACATGGTTAGGCAAATTATAAAAAAGTTGAAATTAAAAGAAAATAATTTAATAAAATAAAGGGGGGGGAGGATGAGCCCTGATCATTCACCAATACTTCATCTAGGTAGCCTGCATAAAGGAACTAGAGATAAGAGACAGTCGTGCGTCATGAGTTTACAATTTCCGAAAGAGAAAAGAAAAAGAAGAAAACAGTACCGAGAAAATAAGTATTACTTATTAAACTTTGTTAGTCTGATAGCTCAACAAAAAATACCTATGTTATTTTATTCTATAATATGAGAGTAACGCGTTACGCGCAAAGCCTAACTCACGCATTCATATAAATAGACTCCAAGATAATAAAAGAGAATAATTCTCATGCAAATGATATACAACATTAAAGCTTGATATCAAAATAAAACTAAAAATAAAAAAAATAAAAACTCGGGATGCTAAATTTAGCAGAACCAAATAAGCGTAAACGGGAAATGTATAAAAATAACAATTTAAATAATGAGTAAAAGCATTAGAGCTGATTGCGATCCGGCGAAACGATTAAAAGTGCCATTTCCGTAAATTAATAATAAATAAAACAGGCGTGACAAACAAAATGAAAGCTATTATCGTCATGAAGAGAAGTGCTCAGAAACCGACTGAATGAAGAATGAGGCAAGCGGAACACGGCAAAAAACGAAAAAATAAGTTTTGCTGCGTTGTGAAAAAAAAACAGCGAAAAGCGCAAATGAATAACCCCACTCGAAAAAAGGGGAGAAAAACGTGAAAAAAGCTGTTAATAATTAGTCAAATCCATTACAAAATTACTCCCGAGGTGAGATTGGACCAGAGAAAGGACAACCTAAATCCGAGCTAACTAAATTTTGTCGAGAGGCGGACTATTAGCTACATTAAACAGTTGAGCGATTTTTCAATTTTTTAGCCCTCCATTGAACTAACACTCTGCCTATTAAAGAGATGAATCGGTTCAAAAGTCATCATTCAACTCAGTTTCATGCACGCCGGACCGATTAAACAGCGCAGGAAATGTACCAGTCAGTAATTTTCCGAATGTAGTCAGGATGACCTTCTTACACTCCGGAATACATTACTAATTTCATTCCGATAACTATACTTGGAGATGGTTCTCAAACATTTTGAAACCAACTGATGCGGCTCACTCATGCTGACATAGAGATGAGGCCGTAAAGCCCATGGACGGTCAAATATGGCAACTACGAATTGCAGTTTTAAAACTTGATACCCGGACTCGCTTTTAGAGTTCTGTTTCGGATCGATACAAGGAATCTATTTTGAATGGTGTTTGAATGGTGTGTTCGAACAAAAGATAAACAAAGTGTATTCACAAAGTATTCGCTAATTGCCGCATGGAAAAACACGGGACTCAGGCACGCATCCCATGTGGACAATTGAACTTCCATTGTTTACATTGAGAGAGCAAAGTGGTCCTGAAAAATTCACGAGCGTGATGAAAAGGAATTTTGTAACGACTCGTAAGCGAGACAAAAAAGGGATGAAATGACAACTTTCAATATAGTGCTGATATCAGTGCAATACATGGCCTTCTCGCCACCTAGCGATAATGAATGTGAATAAAAGAGGGCGGGCAATGATTGAGTAGGCGATAGGCCTCACTTTCCCTCTTCAACACAGGCATCCATTGATTCGATGATACTACATCAGGGTGACGGGTTTTACTGACAATGGAGTTCTCTAATTTGTAGAAATTTTTCGTATTGAAATAATCAAAATACCAGCACTAAAAATAGAGAGGGTCTGACTCTTCAAATTTGTAAGTTTTTTGGTTGGAAATTTTGCCTCTCTTTCAAAATCAAAAATAAAAAGAAATTGGAGGGGGGGGGGCAGGTTAAAGTCATCACTACTTCAGTTGCAGTGATTCGTGATGTATAGCACTAATTCCGAAAATGACCTCAGTTCATCTTCTAAACCCAATAATTTTCCGGAAATA